CTAGGCCTGTTAGAAAACATGGGAGTGGTTCCTTTGGCAACATCAATGCAAATCTACAAGAAAGGTGATGTTGTAGACATTAAGGAAATGTGTACTGTTCAAAAAGGAATGATCCACCAATGTTACCATGGCAAAACTGGAAAAGTCTATGATGTTACCCAGCATGCTGTTGGCATTGTTGTGAACAAACAAGTTAAGGGCAAGATTCTTGCCAAGATAATTAATGTGCGTACTGAGCATATTAAGCATTCTAAGAGCAGAGATAGCCTCCTAAAACTTGTAAAGGAAAATGACCAGAAAAAGAAAGAAGCCAAAGAAAAAGGTACCTGGGTTCAACTAAAATGCTAGACTGCTCTATCCAGAGAGGCACACTTTGTGAGAACCAATGGAAAGGAGCCTGAGCTACTGGAACCTATTCCCTATGAATTCATGACATGATGGGTGTTAAAAATGAACTAATCTGTGGTCTATAAAGAAAAAAAGTCTACAAATAGAACTGCCATATGATCCAGCAATCTCACTCCTTGGTATCTACCCAAAAGACAGAAAAAATACTTAATTAGAAAAGTGCTTGCACATCGATGTTTATTGCAGAATTATTCACTATTGTTAAGACATGGAACCAACCCAAATGCCCACGAACAGATGAATGGTTTGAAAAACTGTGGCACATATACTCTATGGAATACTAGTCAGCCATTAAAAGAACAAACAAACAAACAAACAAAAACACAAGACCTTGGCTTTTGACAGAAAGTTGATAAATATCGATGATTTACTGCTGAATGAAGCAAGCCAAGCTATGAAGGCGAGACATTGTATGTTCCCACTTAATATATACTGAGTGTTCCTACTCTATGACTGAAACCGATTGACTAAAGGATATAGAAACACAGTAAATGGTTGCGAATACCAGACATAGTGTGAGTGAAAGAGAAGAGTCTGAGGAAGGACATTTAGAAGAAAAATAAAGAGGCAAAGCATTAATGGGACAAAGAAATGTGGTATTATCTGTTGAAGATAACTTTATAGTATTATCAACTGGACTGGGAAGAAATGTACACATGTTGGAATATTCACTTTGTAAGCTAAATAATGTGATTGAATATATAAAAGAACATTAAATTTAAAAAATCAGGTAAAACGTATAGTACGAAAAAATGCATGAATTTCAAAATTTTTTTGCACCAAAATAACCTGTATTTTCAGTCTTTCCATGAACTCTTTTTTTTTTTTTTTTGAGAGGTTTTCGCTATAGGGTGCATGCACTCGCCAGAAAGATAGAGACAGAGATAGAAAGCGAGAAATCACCCTCCCCAGGGGGATGGCCACACTGCAATCCCTTGTCCATTCTCCTCTCAGGATCTTGGGCATGCATGCACATGCGCCCGGCGTGAGTTTAAACCACCAGGTCCAGGACTTGAACCACAGTAGACTACACGGGAATCCAGCGACATAGCCATTACACTAACTGCTGGTCCCTTTCCATGAACTTTTTGAAAGATCCTTGTGTTATAAGATATCATGCCTAACAGCTTTGAAATCAGTGTAAAACAAAGACTAAATTGAAAACCAAAATCTCTAGATCTCAGAGTTCAGTAGATCCCACAGACATTGAAGAAACAAATGCAAATAATTTATTATTTCCATTTGCAAATAATTATTTATTTCAAATTTACTTATTTTGAATCAAATCAAATTTATTTTGAAGATTAGAGAAATGCCATAGAGAGGTTTCTGTCCAATTATATCACACAGAAAACTTTTGAGATTACAAAACAGCTCACATTAAATATAGAGCTCATTTTCACACACCAATTCAAAGTCAACTTCGTATTTATCTCTATACAAAGTAGATATAGACTAATTGAATCTGGCCTAGAAAATCTTATAATAATTTTAAGGCATCATTTACATTGGACAGAATAAACATCCATGTATCATTATCAGTTAATGTCAGGCTCTAACTAAATGAAGTAGTTCTGTTTGGGGGAACACAACTTGATCCATATGAACCTTGATATGATAGAATGTAATTATATTACAAATTACTAATCAAGGAAATCATTCAGGAGGAAAATAAATATTTGGGGATATAATGATAAGACTTTAAAATGTCGTCATTTTGTTAGCAAGAAAAAAAGGGTATCATTTCATTTGAGATTTTGTAAAGATCAAAGTTTAAGGATGTTTCCTGGAATGGGAATGGAACACTTGAGAACATACTAGGCACTTATTTTATTTTTTTAAGGTTTTTTGCCATAGAGTGCATGCACTTGCCAGAGAGAGAGGAAAAAGAAGTAGTGACAGGCAAGTGAGAAATCACCCCCAGAGGGGATGGCCAGACTGCAATCCCTCCTTCTCCATTCTCTTTCTGGGATTTTGGACATTCATGCATGCACGCTAAGCATGAGTTTCAAGCCTCCAGGTCTAGGACTTAAAAGGCAGTTGGCCATGTGGGAGTACAATACCTTAACTATCATAACACCTGCTGGCCCCCATTTTAGGTACTTTCAATAAGTTATCTGCTATATAAATTGGTGGTAATCATAGAAGGTCATATATATTGCACTAACATTTCAAGTGCATTAATATTTTAGTTTTATTTCACATTTGGAAGGAAGAAAGCCTGCAGGACTAGAGAGAGTTGGCCTGAACAGGACAGGAGTCCTAACTAAGGCATCTGGTTACCCAAACTTAACCATTTCTGCTCTGAGCCCTGCCTCTTCCTGCCCTGTGTTAGATCCTTTAGATTCTGAGAGAAGCTTTCTAGTTTGTCAATGTGTCATGAACTCCCCAAAACACTGTAGCTTCAATTGCTATGTTGGCATCAAGTGACTATAAGGAAATAATATTAAGAAAAGACAATCAGTTTAAAGATACCAAATGATGTTTTTTCATTAGCCAAACACAGTCTATGCAAGAAAGAAGTTCTATCAAATTGATTTGCTATGACGACTAGAAAAGCTCCAGAGATTTACAGAGGCATGGACAGAATTTGTAAACTTTATGAACAGTCTTATGATGAGGTGGTTGTTCGTACAACCTCAAGCAACCACTAGGCCACTCACCATCACACTTCTCCAGGATCTGAACTGTATCTCCAATTTCCAGTGATAGGCCATATGGAACGGTTCCTCGAAAACTGGCAATAACTGTAAGAAATAACATAGAACATATGAAGACAATCATATCAGTTACAGCCTGTTATACTGCTTACTATCAAATGTTATTGGCTAGGAAACATGAATGTGAATAGGAAGTATATTTCAACAGCTAAAATCTGCAGGCATTTTAATTTTATCTAATTTTAAAGAAAATCATATTTACATACTGTGCCAATTCCTTAGTAAAATGACTATTATGGACATGCATTTCAAAGGTATAGAATTTACCAAAAAAGTAAACAAAATATCAAGACTATTACCCAATAATGAATATAACCAGGTATGGGCTAAAGAACACCAAAGGGAACTGTGCCCCTCTAGTGCATTGCCTATATTTACTCACCTATCCCAGTGCCTAGCCCGTAGTAATTCATAAACATGTGTTCAATAATAAATGAGGAATATTATTTCTTCCTCATTATTAATCTTGGTTTACCTTCCTACTACATTGTTTGAAACAGATTTCTTTTACCCAGACCATGAAACTTCTCAAGAATAGGGATGGCATCTATTTGCTCAATACTTTGTCCCCAGGGCCTAGGACAGTATGTGACATAAAAGCCATCCTGCAGAGTAATCAATGGTAATACTGTATTTAGTAATCACTAGTACTTCCCCTAGAACTAAATGCACAGCCATTATAGCAATTTTTACATGCCTTAGCTCTCAGACCATTTGAAAATGGGGTGGGGGGGTGATCATTAATTATAGATTAATGGTTTAGATTAACTGGTTTATGAAACATTTGGCAGGGTGGGGCTGGACTAGGATGAAAAACCTACAAAGAGAGAGAAAG